TGAGCATGGGGGGGGGTGGAGCCTCATGCAGCAGCTCAGGAAGAACCTGTGACCTTAAGCGCCGGAGGCTGACCCCGTATCCACTAGGCCATTGGGGCCCGTGCTGCCTTCTGCCAGGCGAGGTCTTATCCGTTAGGCTGCACAGTGCCACTAGCTTCTCCCCTCCCTCCGTGCCAGCCCCAGCGGTCACCTGGGCCTCCAATCCAGGTGATCGACTCTAGAGAGGGGGTGAAGGCCGGGGGGAGAGAGGGATACTATTAGGCCAGAAAGCATCAGCCCTGGTGCCCTGGTATGCGAGAGGGGCTTTGTAGCAGCGGGTCCGGCTTTGTGGTTTAGCTCCGCTGGTTTTCTTGCAGGAAGAACTAATTTCCCTCCCCCCATCAGTCGATAGCTCCAAGCAGTGGGCGCAGGGAGGAGGATGGGGAGGGGGGGAGGACAGAGAACTCCAGGGTCACTTTCTGAACTGTACTCCCCCCCTTCTCTCTCCAGAACGTGGAAGATCAACACTTACTAATGCACGACCAGACAGTGATTAGAAAAGGTCAGTAGATGGCATCGCGATTTGCTTCATTTTGTCCGTAGCTGCAGCTCGGTTAGGAGATGAGACATTGGCAAGTGGCTACGTTGTTTTGTTCCATTTCTTTCCAGAGGGAGGACCTGTCTCAAGGCAGGGAGCCTGAACTTTATTTGCATGATCCCTGCTGTAACTCTGGATTGCGTGTGTCAGGAACGCGAGCTAAGGCGGTTATTTAACAGTGGGGCTCTGGGGGTACTGCCTTGCTTCCTTTGGAGTCTTGCACATTTAAAAAAGCTTCTATTTGTAAACCTTCCCATTTTGATGGGAAGCAAATTAAATTCGTGGCATCAGCGGACTGTCTCTGACACCCTCTTGTCTCTTATTCTGGACTTTGGAGTTGTTAGTCCTAAAAGCAAAACAGTCTTGTTTTTATTGCTCTCGGGCTTAACCAAAGAATACAAGAAACGGACATTTCAATGCAGCTCGGGCGTTTAATTGTATGCCCACCCGAATTCCTTGTGTAGACAGTGACACGGGGGCTGTTTTTGATAAGAATGTGAGGCAGAGGCAGGTTTGTTTTAGTTCAGTGCAGTCTTCGTTCAGCTAGCAGAGCGCTCTTCGCAATCAGCGGTCCTAGAAAGCGGTTAGGACTGAAATGGTGTTTAGCTGTGTAAACACGCGCAGAGCACCTCGCCACTTCGTTTGCGGGCTTGTTTGCCTGCTGGCACCCACACTTGTGCTTTGAAAAATCAGCGCAAGTCTCCTCGAGAGGCTGAGGTGGGACTTCGCCTACACATTTATTTGAGGAAAAGCAGGAGGGTTTGTCGGCAGCTCTGCTGATCCGCATGAGCTCGCGGGAGGGCGATTCTGCGCTCAGATAGACCCGCTCAGAACCTTCCTTTCTAGTCCACACGACTCCTTTTCGCTGTTTAACCCTGTCTTGCCGTAGTTGCCAAGAGCAATCACTCAGCCTGGCTACATTTCGATGGTAGGTTAATCCGAGAGATTTCCGAATACGCTCCTGCCGAGGTTCCATGGCTGTTGCTCCTACTCATTGTAGCGATGAAGTCATTAGTCTTGCTTGCGATTAACTGTTCTCAGCTGTGGATATTGACATATGGGGCAGGAATAGCCTGGAATGTAATTAATGAGAGAGAGGTAACTTCTCTGAACCGAGCCTCCATATTTGTGGAGTCGGAAGATGAAATTCAACACTGCTTCTCCCCCCCCCTCATGTGTTCCTGCTCCAAGGAGGACGGGAGACAACTCTGTGCCTTTCTTTGAACAAGGGTTTTGTCAATAGCCGGAGGAGACTAGTTTCTGCTCTGCCGCTGTGTATGCTTGTCTGCTCTGGCATTCATTTCGATAAGCCTGAATTTGCTAACTCCCAGGGCATTGTCACTGGTGCGTGCTGAGTTTCCATTGCATATGTAAGGAAAATAATTATTCCTAACGGAATGCATCAGAGAGGTAGCTGTGTTTGTCTGTATCTGCAAAAAAAGGAGTCCTGTGTCACCTTAAAGACTAACAGATTTACTTGGGTTTAAGCTATTGGTGGGCAAAACCCCATTTTGTCAACTGCCTGGAGTGGAAATTACAGAGGCAGGCGTGTACACGCCCTGCGTCTGGGAAGTGGGTTTTTTCCCCTGAAATCTGGTGCCCAAATTAAAGCTGTTACTCTTACCGTGCCATAGGACTTAGTTTCTTGTGTTTTGTTTTTTCATGAAATGTGTGTGACAACAAAACTAGCGACAGTCCATTAAAGTCAGTCGGCTGTCCTGAGGCTAACTGTGGCATTGTGGATCAGGAGAAGATCCAGTGGTGGATGGTTAACAGAAAACTCAAATTTAGCTCCATTTCGATTTGTCATTTCCTCCTTTTATTAAATACCTGATTTCCCACCTCACTCCCACAGGTCCCATTTCACTAACAAAAAACAGCTCACTGAGTTTGCCCTGCCAAAAGGACGGCTTAATTGGAGTGGTGATAAATCCCAATGAAGTGTTTTGCTCTGTGCCGGGGAGACTTTCTCTGTTGAGTTCCACATCGAAATATAAAGTGACAGTAGCAGAGGTTCAAAGACGGCTCTCACCTCCAGAATGTTTAAATGCCTCCTTGCTAGGAGGAGTACTCAGAAGGTAGGTTGTTTTCCCCCAGCATGATTTTAGTAATCCTGTCTGTCTGTTGTTGATCCTTTTTTGCAAGGGTTGTACCAGAATGAGCTTGAATAACCGTCTAAAACATTTTATGAAACTTTTTTAAAAAATAACACTGAATTCTAATAGGCTTTGGAAATAAAACTCTTTCTTTGCACCTCTGGCACATCCCAAAGTGAGGTGCTATAACAGTTCTCACAATACATTCTCATTCCCTGTTTAAAATCTGATTCCATCACTGAGATGGCACAAGGAGAAATTTCTTATTTCAGAGACAAATCATCTCCCTGAAGAAGTGGCTGGGATAGTATCTTGGTACATTAGTTGAGGGACATATTTCATAATCTTATTTTTGCATATGATTTAATTCATATTAAGCCTCATTTATTACAGCTGGTATATTTTCATTATAGTGTAAACTGAAAGGCAAAACATTTGATTTGGTTTCTGATGTGTTTTACACAAAGGGGTTTGTGTCAGATCCTTTAAAAGTAGGTCACTGAAAAACAGAGAACCTGCTTTTTATCCCACTCCCTCCAACAGATCTTCATTAAATGTCAGTAACTTGATTTCCCATCTTTTAAAATAACAAGTGTGTCATCCTTGAAGCTACATAGGGCCACATCTCTCTCTCTGTCTACTTTCAGAGCCAAATCTAAAAATGGTGGCAGATCATTAAGGGAAAAACTGGATAAAATTGGCTTGAATCTTCCAGCTGGTAGAAGGAAAGCTGCAAATGTGACATTATTAACATCTTTGGTAGAAGGTCAGTCCTCTATGTTTGTGAATTGGGGGGAAGGGGAGAATAAAGGGTATTTTGTTTTGTTTTAAAATTGAAAAAAGGGCTTTTTCCTGTCTGAATTACAGTTTATATAAGCCTAATATTGTGTATTCTGATTAAGTCTAGGAAACCCATAGAGAGAATGGAGTTAAAGAAGTTACAGACAATACATAAACTATGCTGCCTGTTAGCCCTCCCAATGCTAATCTAAATGTTATTTTTTGTTTTATGCCATCTTTCAGATCAAATATGGATATCTTGCTAAATTGTTATCTTTAAACTTGATTATATCTGAACTGTGACTAGTGACCTAAACTGTTGTGTTAACTTCAGTTTTAATCCAGTGAAGCTATTCTGTAAACTAAGGGATTCTACATGGCTATTTCCATACTGTTGTGAAATTGACAGGTGTGAGAACAACTCCTTTATACAAGCAGTTCTAAATTCCCCAGTGAGACCCAGTTTATTTAGTCTTTGGAGTATGTAGAGAAGAGATGGTTGGGAAGGGGGCAGAGAGGTGTGTGCAGGGGAAGCCTTTCCAATTTTGAGATCTTAATGTAATAGCAAGTTTGGCTTCCTATTGGAAGGTTTAAATGCACTGACTAGAGCAGTGGACCCCCAATGACTGGCCCTACCTCAATCACAGCCTCAGAAGCTTTGCTAATAAACATTCATATACAATGAGATTTACAGCTTTTGACTTCCTGATAGGAAACTGGAGCTCATTTAATTTGCAGCATGTATGTGGTCCTGTATCAATTTAGCTGGCCTTTTTTTTTTTTTTAAAGCAGCTGGTTGGTATTGCTATAGTTGGTAGAAATGGAAGCAGCAATTTAAGTGTGGACAATATTTTGAAAATAGCACTGTCCATTTTTTAAAAATTAACATTTCAATACTGTACCCATTTTTACTTTATTATTAAATATTTACGGAAAAGTAGAATTGTGAGAGTCAAAATAAAGTGTATCTAATACTTTAGTGAATCTGTATATTACATGTGTGCTATAGATAACCTATAGTTCAAAACAAAATTCAGAATTTTGGTTAGAATAGGTAGTTTTAATTAACTAACAAACCGTAGTCTGTCTCTTTATTATTGGGTAACATATCCGCGGATAGTTTTAATACAAGTTTACAAAGTCTATTTAACTTCAACATTTTACTGACTTAAATTAATTGCCAGCTGTCTGACCACCATAAGAATATATGCCTTTTAATCATTTTAAGGTGAAATTCTATTGGTAAATATTCAACTTAGCTAGACAGAGAGACCTCGTATGTTGTCCTTGGATACAAAAGGAACCAGAACAATTATTTTTGTAGCACCTATTGTGCAGATTTTCTTAGTGTCTCGTCCTCAAATTTAGATGATCTATTTAATTAGGAAATAACAAACAGTAAAGTGTGTGGGGAGGCATATTTTGAAATTTATATGGTTTTGCTCATATTTCTATTGTAACAGTGAAAGTCTAATTATTGGATCTAAAACATTCACCTTATCACATGTCCCCCACCCAGGTGAAGCTGTGCATCTTGCTCGTGACTTTGCTTATGTTTGTGAGACAGAGTTTCCTTCCAAAGCAGTGGCTGAATATTTAACCAGACCGCACTTGGGCCGTAATGAAATGGCTAACCGGAAAAATATGCTTCTTGCTGCAAAGTAAGTATTAAGGGGGGAAAGTGCTTTTTGGGTGATAGAGAGAATGTGGTAGTCTGTAAAACACTATTTGATTTTTGCTTTTAATAAGAAACAAACAAAACCAAAGGTCTATGTGAATCTAGTACCAGATACCAGAGTCAGCATAACCCCAGAGTTAGCAGAATCCTTCAGACTTTATTAGAGTTGAAATTTAAACATTATAGATAGAAATGTCACTTTCAGAATTTTTACATCTGTTTAATATGAATACTCTAGGGCAGTGTTTCCCAAATGGTGTTTCATGGAACCCTGGGGTTTTGCGAAGTGAAAATAAGGGTTCCATGAGAAAATGCCATTAAAATAACATTTTATGATTTAAACAAATAATAATTAATATTTAAGCATTTATGAATTTTATTGAAAACAATTTTCATTTGTGTTGATCTCATGACCTTATTTAGCTTGTGTTTATTACTATTCTTATTTGTTTGTGGTCTACTTTTTCAGCTCCATATATAACACTGTTATTATGGGTTCCACAAAATTCTTTTGAATTTAAAAGGGTTCCATGGCCAAATAAAATTGGGAAACACTGCTCTTGGGATATAAGAGCTAATGAAAATCCACTGGTATCAAGAGAGAACCACATTGACTTCAGAGGGCTTTGGATCAGTTCCATATCACTCAAATCAACATTCCCTCTAATTTTTTCCATCAATCCGGAGAATAAACTTTATCTGTACTGAGGCATGTGCAGATGTGCACCACTGGGCTACATCTAAACTGCAAGCCTCTTTTGAAAGAGGCTTTTTTCGAAAGATACTTCCAAAAAAGCCTCTTTCGAAAAACAGCATCTAGACTACAACCAGTATTTTGGAAAAAGCAAGCTGCTTTTTTGAAAGAGCACTCAGGCAGTCTGAATGCTGTCTTTCGAAAAAGGACAGTTTGCATTCTAGTGCCTTTTTTCAAAAGAGCACTTTCAAAAAAAGGTGTTATTCCTCGTAAAACGAGGTTTTCCTCAGTCAAAAAAACTTGTGTTCTTTCGATTTACTTTCGAAAGAACTTGGCAGCAGTCTAGACGCAGGGGAAGTTTTTTCGAAAAAAGACCACTTTTTTCGAAAAAACCCTGTAGTCTAGACACACTCCTAGTAGAAATACATGCTGCTGGGTGTGGGTGCTCTACTAATCAGCTGGGCTTCATCTGAGTCTCTCCTGGGTGGCTGCCCAAGTGCTCAGCTTAGAAGGAACACTGTATTAAATATAGCACTCCATACCCCATAATGTCAGCACTACTCTTTTTGTACTCTGCAATAGGAGAGATTTTAAAAAATATGTGCATCATGTTGTGTATCTTGCTGATTTAGTGAAGTTCTCTCAATGCACAGGTAATGAATAAAGCCACTTAAAATTATGTCTAAAACTTAGGCCTCTGATCCTGCAAACACATATGCATGTGAATAACTTTGTGCTTGAGTAGTCTCATTGAACATTCACATGTATTGTTAAATTGTATTGTTATGTGCGTGTTTGCAGGATCGGAAGTTTTGATGAAGACGGCAAATTAAATGCCCCAGTTCAGCTGTTTAATCTATTGTAAATCACTTAAGTGCATCTGTGGAAGTTCTCAGACACTATCCCTAAATTGATTTAAAAAAAAATGAAGCAGAACCAGCCAGACACCAAAGTAGGAGAGATTATACTGTGGAAAGTGTGTGTGTTACACATGTATACATATGCGTATATAAAGCTTGTCAGAAACTGACAAAGCAGGCTTTAATCCTAATTGAGAAATATTCTTGCAGTGAGGTAGTTGTAACGGACCGCTGGTTATTTCATTTTAAAGGATTCTGTATCTTGCTGCTTTGCTCAGTCCTACATCCTCTCACAGAATGCCTTGTACTTTCTGGCATAAAGTATGAACCCTTTTGTGTCTTACAGGCAGATATGTAAGGAATTCACAGACCTCCTCACTCAGGATCGAACTCCCCTTGGAAACACTAGACCTAGTCCAATCTTGGACCCGCTGGTTATTTCATTTTAAAGGATTCTGTATCTTGCTGCTTTGCTCAGTCCTACATCCTCTCACAGAATGCCTTGTACTTTCTGGCATAAAGTATGAACCCTTTTGTGTCTTACAGGCAGATATGTAAGGAATTCACAGACCTCCTCACTCAGGATCGAACTCCCCTTGGAAACACTAGACCTAGTCCAATCTTGGACCCTGGCATCCAGGGCTGTTTGACTCACTTTAGCCTGATCACGCATGGCTTTGGGAGTGCTGCCATCTGTGCTGCCATGACATCCGTCCAAAACTACCTAAACGAAGCATTAAAAATAGCAGACAAAACATATATGAACACAACAAAAACATTGATAAAATGGATAAGCACAGGAAGTAAGAAGGAAACCAGACTTTCAGCCTGTTCTTCCAAAACACAGACTGGGATCTTCTTGCCTACGAGGCATGTAGAAATTTTGTTAGTTTCCTCTTCCTTCCTCTTTTAAAACAACAAAACATCTTATTCAGGATCTTCACTCCTTCTGGATCTGTAAAACAAGTCTTTCTAAAGCTGCAGTATCTCCCTTAACTGTGGAATCCGTTACCAGAAGATAAGTGCTGGTGAAAGTGTATTAAAATCCTTTGCTATTAAAGTGGTGCTATAAAAGTCTTTGGAAATATATTGCGAGATATGTAAAGTTTTCAAAACATCTAAATATCTAGAAGTGACCAGCTACCATGTATATTTTTTGGAATATGGATTTTGGATGGGATGTTCTTCATTATCTGGAAAAACTTCAGGTTTTTAGTCTTTAACACCAACAATAACTAATGCAGTATTAAACAATCTACTCAGATTTATGTACATGGTGTATTTTTATAAACATAATATCAAGATCATTCTGTTCTGCTTTATTTTCAAACTATCATAGGAAAAACTGAAATCAGCATAGCTGAAAGAGCTATTTGATGCATTTGACATACTTATTTTATTTCTTATATTTTACGGTAATATTCAGGCTTTTAAAAATTGCAGTTGCCTGCATTAGAATGACTTTTTAGAAAATCAACCGACCAACCAACCCCACAAAGAATTGCTCAGACAAACAGAAAATAAATGCTTTTAAAATCTCTCTAAGGATATTGCAGCTTTATTCACATATTTATATCAGGTCTTGTTTTTAAATTGAAAAAAACTTGAAAAAATAGGCTCATACTGTAACTTTTTTTTTAAAGAAAAAATTGTTTGCCTATTAAGGAAAAAATATAAATATATTTCCAGGGAGACTTTATGTGTATTAAGGGAAACTGTGTTGAATGTACATATTTATTTATGTGTAATTTAATGGGATTTGTATATAATGGTGAACTTTTTAATACTTTTTTTTTATATATGGATTTCAAATTTTAATTTTGGTAAGTATTTCAAAGGTAATGGGGTAAGCTAAATACATGGTATGGTTTATGCACAGGTATGTTATACAGGGTATTTAAGATTTTTTAATTTTTATTTTAAATTCTCAGTTTTTGCCACTGAAGATTAACTCTAATCTGAGAGGTATGATCCTAAAGCAATAATTTTGTGTACCAGTCAACAGATAACTGAATAGAATGAGTGCTTTAAGTATGCTGCGTCTGTGAATAATGGAGGTTCTGAACTACTCTTTGCATATTTGTAAATGTTCCCAATATAATTCTGATGTATATGATAACCATATAATAAAAGTATTCTGGATAGAAGCACTGAATGTCTTGTTACCCAAAAAGTGTTTCCTTTCCATATTTTGTCAATACAGGACACTAGAGGACGTTGTATATTGTCATAATTTCAGAACTTTGTTCAGATGAACAGAACAGAAATATGTAGCTGTTTGCCAGTAAAACTAATGGTTTCAATTAAATGAGTCATGTATCTCCAAGAACTTTTTTTTTAAACCATCCATATTATGCCATCTGCCTACTTAAACTAGAGGCACATTTTAAGGCTTCCTTTTAATAAATGTCTGACTCAAGCAGCTTTACATTACATTTGATTAATCAGATGATTTCACTTTATATGCTTAATGATACATGTTTGCAAATAGCTTGAATGTGAAACATTTCTGACTTCCAGTGTTGGCCTCATTTTTTTTTTTTTATAGATTGGGAAAAACTGAGGCCTGGAGAAGCTTGGCGCTACGATGTCTAAAGTCATAAGAAAAATCCATGGCAGGACTGGAGGCAGAACCCTTTGGCTACATCTACACTGCACAGTTGTTTCAGAATAAGATAATCCGGAATAGTTATTCCGAAATAGCTTATTTCGAAATAGCATGTCTACAATACAGGGAAACCTCAAAATTGGTCTGAGGCATTCTTCCCTAATGTAGATGCGCTATCTCAGTTTAGAGTCCCAGGAGGAATAACTTAGAATGGCCCTGGTGAGGGGCTATTTTGAAATAGCAGAAGTGTAGCCTTATTTCCAAATAGCTATTTCAGAATAGGTGTTATTCTTCATAGAATCAGGTTTACAGAAGTCGGAATAAGCTGTTGTTTATTTCAAAATAACAGAATTACTAAGTAGACACTTGCATAGTTGTTTTGGAATATAAGCAGTTATTCCAAAATAACTTTGCTGTGTAGACACACCCTCAGTGGCTAGAATGAGTGTCCCAGGACCTTAACCATGAAGGTGACCTGCAGAAACTGGAATAAATTCTTTTTTAAAAAAAATTTGGAAGCAAATATTTACACGTTCCCATAGGTCCCTCAGCACCTCACTAGAATGATAGGAGTGCACGAGATTTTGTACAGAATGGTGAATGAATGAATGATGATGGCATCACACTGAAGTGACTGTTCTAATAGCTCAAAAAGCAATTGGTAAATAATCCAAAATGCAGTATTAAAAAAAATCCCCCTAGAGGGGGAGTTGTTACCATCCCTCTATCGGGCAAAAGATTTACAGGATCTGTCGAAAAAGGGTTTAGTTTCGACAGATCCGCATCTAGACTGCTGTGTGTTGTTTGTTTTTTGTTTTGTTTTTTTTAAAAAGCTCTGTTTCGAAAAAAAAGTGGTGGCCATGTTTATGCTAAAGAAGCGTGGAATATTTAAATCCCTGCTTCGTTAGCAATTTTGATGTGTCTAATCTACATCTCTGCCGACATAGAGGTGTAGTCTAGACACAGCCTAGGGGTACATCTACACAGCAGGGCTAAAGCTGGAATAAGCTATGCAACTTGAGCTATGTCAGTTGCGTAGCTTAAGTCAAAATAGCTTAATTCGGCTTTTGGCGCTGTCTACACAGAAGAGCACTCTTCCTTTTGACTTCCTTTATTCATAAAATGAGGGTTATCAGGAGTCAGCGTAAGAAGACCTCCAGCTCACCATTATTTCGAAATAATGGCTTGTAGTGTAGACACGCTCTTTGATTTCGGAATAACATTCCAAAATAATACTGCTGTGTAGAAGTATCCTATGTAGATCTGGCAAACAGGTGAAGAGGCAAGGTGCTTGGAAAGTCTTTGCTTTTTTTTTTTTCTGGAGAGGGGAGGATGATGTTTTTTTTTTTTTTTTTTGGTATTATTACAAACAAGGCCTTTCAAATGGCTTCTTTCAAAATGAGATTGTCCATTTCTGTGAAAACTTTCAATATTTTGAAAATTTTTGAAACAACATTTTTCTTGTTTGGAGAAGAAACAAGAACTTTTAACTATGCCCCTACCAACAAAGTAAAAAAAAAACGGAGTGTGTGTGTGTGTGTGTGTGTGTGTGTGTGCACGTGTGCTCGCTTCCCAGGCTGTTCAATGACAAAAGGGGGGAAAGGGATGGAGAATAGCTTTCTCCCCTCCTTTTTTAAGATCTGATGAGCTGTAGTGGGAAGGGAAACAGAAACTCAAAAAAATGAAGTGATTTGTCGTAGGTCATCAAAAAGATTCTAGGTCTGGTGAGTCTGAATTTCTGGGCAAAGTTTGGGGCATCATGGTTTAATTTTTTTCTGCCGAACTGCCCTTTCAGCGTACTACAGCAGGATACTTTAGATTTGCTCCCAGACAATGGAATCTTGCTTTTTATTTATGCACAAAACCAAGCTCTGAAATAATTGCCCCCTGGGATAGAAATGTTTCCATTTATTCCTATGTGCATTCGAGCAAAACCAGCCAATTGTCTAGCAAGCTGACTAGTGTTCTATTTATATGTCAGAACATTAGGAAAGTTGAGTTTCCATTAAGTTAATGCCTTTACTGTACTGTATATTTCAGATACCACATTATTTGAGGCTCAATTACCAAATCAGCAATCCCAATGACATAATAGAAGAGAACATTGTTCTTGTCCTACATTCACTCAACAGAATGGCTAAACTGTGACCTGAAGTCATCTGTCATCCAAAATTATTAGTCTACTAAACTACTGTAAAGTTCTCCCTAATTTTTATGATAAGCTCGACTTTACAAAACACTGTCCGAGCAGCTGACAAAATACCCTAGAGAATATCTGACATTCAGACTTCCTCTGTAAGGGCTCAGATTTTTTTCCTTATGGGTTGCAAATTTCTCTGCCTTGTCTTGGCTCCAAATAGTATGTATAATTTTAGAGCTATTTGAAAAATTGGATTTTCTCTTCCATGGGTAATCCTGAGATTATGAAATTTTGTTTCATCTTGATTCTGAGTGGTATGGTTTGAGCTTAAATTATTCTGGGCATGATCATCTTGTGTGTCTGTTCATACAATAGCACCTTAATCCTGAGTTAGGTTTTTGGATGCAGCTACAATAGAAGCATTCTACAATAATAGTACAACATGTTACCTTACAGTAGTGTTACTGCAGTGACTACTGCAAAGTACTTTCTTTGTTTTTTAATAAGGCAATGTCCAAATTTCTCAGAACTTCTGTCTGGTCTTTACAGAATGGCAGGCAAGAAGAGTCATTAATAACTTCATCTCACAAAAATCCTAACTCCTTAGGCATGTTTGCTTGCCAAAGTCACCATAAGGGGAAAAACTTGGAGACAATTTTGGTGAGTGATGAGTGCACCCTTTGGAAATCTGTCGCTAAGCATGCCCATAACTGTGCAAAATGCATGTGACTCTGTTGGCTCTGCAAACTCACATTTTTTCATGCAAACAGGACTTTGATAATAAACAATGGGTATAATGTCCTGGAACTAGGGGTGCAGGGTGGAGAGGGGTAGGGTGTGCTGCAACACCCACTGGCTTGAAGTGGTTTCCATTATATACAGGGTTTCCAGTTAGGCTGAAGAGCTTTCAGCACCCGTGTATAATGGACGTAATGGGTCTGATTGTATTTTGCAAGGATTCTGCAATGGGGTAGTTTTGCCTGTAAAATCTGAGCCTCTGTACCTTAACCAGCGTGCAGCACATCTGATCTCAACCAAAATTACACCTCTAAACATCTATACCTCTGCATGAGCTCCATAGAAGCCTTGTTTATGGTGACTGGCTGTTGCTGCTATCCCCATTACTTAACGATGTATTATTTATATGTGCGAGTGCAAACAACCT